TTTGGTGCTAGAAACCAAGAAGGGAAAGAGCAGGGTGACTTATTGAACATATTCGATGACATTTCAGGACATGGACGGTTAACATTTTCTTCCATAAATGCAAATGTTTCAAGTGGTTATGTTCGGGGCTATAACTAGAATTTGAAGTTTGACTGAGCTGACTTTGATCCTACAACAGGGATTCCTAAGCTATTTGTATATACCAGTTAGTCTGAATGTAGCTACAACAGATTTTGAAACCACCAAATCCTCTGTGTAAATCACATGGTAAGCATAGATCCGTTTTCGTTTTCGTTTTCGTTATCTCCAGATGGATGTCGAAGCTTTCTCGTGAGGGGACAACTTGAATAAAAGCCAAGCCAAAGGTAAGCATAGATCCGTTTTCGTTTTCGTTATCTCGAGATGGATGTCGAAGCTTTCTCGTGAGGGAACAACTTGAATAAAAACCAAGCCAAAGGGGAGAGAGAGAGAGAGAGAGAGAGAAGTAAATTGGGGGGGGGGGAGAGAGAGAGAGAGATTGAAAAGTAAATGTCAAGAAACCTGTGACAAAATACGATTTTTGGAAGTCCTCTTTGATGGTCTCCACCACAACAGCACGATCAATAACACCCGAAACATCTTTGCCAAGTTTGATATCCTTTTCAGAAGCTTCAGTGCTACTATTGGAAGGTGAACGGAAAAATGAAGCGGCAATTCCTAGAAGCTCGGAGCTATACCAAGCTACCTTGAGCAGTGCATTTTCTGGTTCGGATTCTTGTTTAGAGGACGAAGAATTGCTTGTTGGGCGTTCTCCATTGCATCGAATTCTGTTGAGTTTGCCATTGTAAATTGGTGAAAAAATGATGCTGTGGTGGTGGTGGGATTTTAGACGGGGAGTGATGGAAGCAAAGGAGAGGGAGGTTGTCATTTAGAGAGAGACGGGAGGGATGCTCAAGAGAAATTGAACTTCCACGGTTCCTTTGAAATATCTAAAGCCTTCGACAAATGGTGGCCACGGAAAAACAGATGAGTGCTTGAAATTTTGTTTGACGACAAACTGTTAAAACGTAAAAGCTATCCGTTTATCTTAGCCAAGCCACTTTAATTCGATTGCACGAGATCATTGACCGGTATTGCGTTACGAATTTGATTTTTTAAAAAAAAAAAATATGTATCCATGTTTTTTAATTAAAAAATTTATAATTATAAACAGATCAATTTAATCTAATTTTAAATAAAAATATAAAAAAACCATTCAAATTAACAAGAGCTAACATGCTAAAATCACTATTCATATCATGAGATCAATATATTTTTATATAAAACATATTAAAATATGAAGTTTAATTCTAATTAATCGAATGTTAAAAGATAAAATAAAAAAATCAATTAAAAAACAATTCAAATCTAACTCGAGTTAATATGACCGGTATTGCGTTACGAATTTGATTTTTTTAAAAAAAAATATATGTGTATTCTTGTTTTTTAATTAAAAATTTATAATTATAAACGGATCAATTCAATCTAATTTTAAATAAAAAATATAAAAAAACCATTAAAATTAACCAGAGTTAATATACTAAAATCATAATTAAATGTTAAAAGATAAAATAAAAAAATTAATTAAAAAATAAATCAAATCTAACTCGAGTTCATATATTAAACCCGCAACTTGAATCATAAAATATAGATAATTTTTTAAAAAATAAATAGTAAAAACTACAAAGCTCCATTTACAACATGTTCAATGTTGAGAATTAAAATTGAAAAAATTAAAATTAAAATTCATAAAACCAAGATGGTTGAGCAAAAAGCAATTTTTTAAAAAAGAATTTGAAGCTCAATACTAAAATAATCTATTATTAAAAAATAAAATTAATAAAAAAAGATTGAATTGTTGGACATGTGAAATTAAAAAATAAAAAAATTAATTGAGTAAATTTACCAAAACTATGATCTGAACCATAAAATTAAGATAACATAATATAAAACAAATAAAAAAATAATTATAAAGTTTAATTAAAAAAATATTAAATTAAAAGAAACCAAAAAAATAAACAAAGTTAATTTAGATTATAAAATTAAAATAACCTTACAGAAAATAAATAAAAAATTATAATTTTTTATTTTTAATTAATTTAATATTGAAAAAATATTGAAAAAAAAATTACAACCTAGAATTTGGTTTTTTCCCTATCTCTATTTGAAATACACAATAAGAAAAACTTGAGCACAAATCGATATTTCAAAACAAAATTAAAGAAAAATTCACCTTCTTTTCGCATTCTCTCCTCTCCCACAAATTCTCCTTGTTGTTGGCATCAATTTCTTCAAGAAATTCAATGACAAAAGGTATGTTCAAATTGTTTTTAACAAACAAGATTTGAAAAATATCAGTGCATTTTGTTTTTGTTAAATCATTAGAATATCGGTAGTCAAAAATAAAAAATGAGAATCCTGAAGGTACGACTCCTTATAAAATTTAGATTTTACTTATTTTTTTTACTTGCAATTGATAATTTTCATGCTCCTGAATACCTTATTTATAGTGGAAAAGCTATGGTCTGTACTTATATGAAAAAAAACCCAATTAAAAAATCAGGGTTATGTGAAAAATTAAAAAAATAAGGTTATTGCTCACATAATCATGATTTTTTTTAATTATTGTTCAATTCACGTGTGATTATTGTAGAATTAGTGTGTAACCATTCTATAACTTGCACCTTGCACATACCATGCAAGAAATAAAAGGCCAGATGTATTCGCGCGTCATGAGAGTTCATCGTATATCAACAAACATTAGGGCTTTGAATATATGTTTTACATAAGGGATGATAAATGCAATAAAGTCTTTAATGTGGACTCGCATGACTTTTGCATAAGGGATGATAAATGCAATAATTTGACCTTAAATGTATTAAATATGCACGTAGGTGAAGAGATAGGTGCATCTGTATGTTGATGCCAATCCAACTGTCAATCATGTAATGATAAAAAACCGATATATTATTTATTTATTTATAGACTAACTTACATATATTATAATTAATTTCTAAATTCATTGAATATCTTATAAGTTCATTAAATAGATAAAACACCATAAAAATAATAGATATATATATAAAGAGTCGAACTTGGATATTGGAGAAAAAGAACAAGTCCCTCTTATGATTTTTAGGCTATGACTTTAAGTACATCAATACATTATTTAGGTGATTTTAAAAATAGCAAACCATCTAAAACAAATTTTTTTATTACACATGATCTTAAAATTAAAAAGGTAATATTATATTTTAATAATTTTAGCCCTGATGATAATAAAATAGGTTTTGAGATTAGTATTAATGATGGAATTATTAGATGTCGAGTAATGATTCTAATATGATTTTAAAATGGATATTGATAATAATATTTATGACATACTAGAACTTCAATGGATATTGATAATAGTTATGATGATCATATTATAATAGCTTTAATGGCATTTTATTTTTAACTTTTTTTAATATTTATTACAAATATAATAGCACACCAATAAATAAATATATAATTTTTATTGATTTTTTTTTACAGAAAGTGTTAGTCACTATCAAAATACATGATTAAAAGTGTAATATTTAAAAAATTATTGGCAAAGTGAAGAAAAAATAATCAAATATTAGGGTGCTTAGTGTAGTGTTATAAAATAACTTTGGTAAACTAAGGATAACCTATTAAATTCATTGACTTGTGTTATGAAATAATTTTAGTTTGGTAAACTAAGGATAACCTATTAAATTCATTGACTTGCGTTATAAATTAAGGATAACCTATTAAATTCATGACTTATGTTATAAAATTAATATAAATACATAAAAAGAATTTTTTTAAAAAAATACAATGCTCCATTTTCAACATATTTAATGTTTAAGGATGGAATAAGAAAAAATAAAACACAAGACTAGTGTATAACCAACAAAAAAATGAATTAAATTTCTAACTTAATTTTCAAATTGTTTTTTATTTGAAATAAATTAAATTAATATATTTTAGATGTTTTTTAAATAATTTTTACTAAAATAAAAATTTTTAAAATATATTGTTAAATATTTTCAATTGAAAAACAATTACAAAAATACATTTTGGGTAGGAGTTGGATAAAAGTTGATCTGTATGGAATTTATAACTTCAATTCACATCAAATCCTTTTTAGACATAACTAGATATTTGATTTGTGTTTTATTGTAAATCAGATAATTTTTTTAGCTAAAAAAACATGCAAGCATTTTAAATTTGTTTTTTTACAACAAAGCTTCTAATTATAAATAAATAATTTATATATATATATATATATTTAATTAAATAAATTATAAAAATATATAAAAAAATATTAACTTATCTATTTAACTCGTATAATTACAAGTCAAATAATTGTTTTTCTAACACAAATGAATTAATATAAAGATATTATAAACATGTTTTTTTTTATAACGAATAAAAAATATAATTAAAAATTAATCCTTACAATGAATATAATATATGTTAATAAAAATATTTAAAATCTTAAACTTATTTTTAATATAATAATGTTGCAATTCATATTGAAACATTATTTTCTGTCTTTGTATAATATTTTTTTAAAAAAATAAAAATAAAATAAAATACAAAAAAATAAAAATAAAATACAAAAAAATAAAAATAAAATACAAAAAAATAAAAATAAAAATAATAAAAATAAACCATATATGCAATGATAAATATTCAAAGAGTAAAAATTAACAAAAATGATATTTAAAAAAAATGTAAAGAAAAAAAAAAGAAAATCTGAAAAAAAATTACAAAAAAATAAAGATAAAAAATAATGAAAAAACATTTTAAATTTATCACCATTACAGTAAAAATTTGATTTTTTTTTCAATTTTACTATTTCTATGATAAAATACCATTTTTTTTAATATATTAATAAAATAATAACAACAACAATAACACAATAACTACAAAAAAAATCAACAACAATAACAATAACAATAACTACAAAAAAAAAATTCTAAAACCGATGTTCATAAAACCTGAAATCTTTTAATAGCGGTCTAAAAAAACAAAGTTCCATTGCAGCCTCTCATGAACTCAGTGGCGTTATCCGGACTCATATCTCGATAACAAGTGAAAACAAAGCCTCCAACTGTCAAAAACCTCGAACTGTTGGTTCGCGCGACTAAAGATGCCGCAAGAAATTATCCCACACCACCAAAATGTCACCGGCTCTATTCATGTTAAGTACTTCATCACTGCTGGAGCAAACTCATGGGCGCCTCTCCTATCTACGTTGTCCCCTGCTGCTATTTTTCCATCCGAAGAATGTGGATAAGATGCATCAGCTTGAAGAAATCGAATGCACAAGCTCATGTTACTAATTGAATTGTTCTTGTGGATTCATGTCAGCATATCATCTGAATGGCAGAAGGCAAAATACAAAACTTTCTGGGAAGAAACCCTACATGTTCCCCATCAGACTGAACATAAATGCTTCCACTGCCAGAAATGTCCTCCACTTCAATAGAAAATACACTGCAAGATTTGAGAAGAGTATAAATGGCTATTAAACACTGCCTGCTGATTTGAAACTCATCTGCACTATGATCAAACTGAACTGAACAAAACTGGCTAAACTACAAGAAGTCCGAGTCCTGCTGCTATTTACCCCAGCCCAAAAGACAGAGGATAGAACCACTTTTATAAAAAACTGAAGAAAAAATATGATTAACCCAATGAAGAATTAATATCAGATTGCATGATGAACCTTTTCCACAGCTGTATTAGTTGAATACTTGATAGTTTGAATAGAATGGCTCCACCAAAAATGGCAAAACACCAATATTGAGTAATCAAGAAAAACAATTTCATTTACAGTAGGGACCTACCTTCTTGAAGATACATTCTTCACTGATAAATGTGTCCCATTGTACAGTCTATGTAGCTTCAGAATGAAGTCATACCACTTAAAGTCCTGCAGAATCACAACCTGCAAAGTAGAATACAGCCAAAATTAAAAGATAATGCAAAATGCTTGATTTATGTTATGCTACAGAAGTACTTTCAGTGAGTTAATAAATGTACTCCACCTCGAAGTTTCCACTGGAAGGGTCAGCATTTGGAGTAATTTTCATGCCACCGCCAAAGTACTTGGCATTTCCAATACAAAGAGCTGTCACCAGAGAACATGTTTCCCACTCACCTCCATTGACCTATATACATAAGATTCTGTGGAGTTAGGACAAAAGGACAATTGGCACTCTTAAAGGAAAGTGCACATCCTATGTAGCATATGATTTCACAATGGTATGGATATAAGAAAAGTGCACAGCACAAGACATTTTTCTGAATTCTTTTCGACTAGACTCGCCTTGATTCTAAGGTCTTGGTTTTTATGCCCCATAAAAGCTTGCAGAGCACCTATAACATAGCATAGGTTTCCGAATCTCTTGTATCGTGATGCGAAGTAACCAGCCTTGGCACTCCTGTAAATCACAGAGCAACTTTTTTAATACTGGCACACGCATTTACTGAGAGAACTGCAAAACTTCCAAGTTAAACTTACAGATGAATATCAGCAACATTTATGAAGTAATGAGATTCTTCTTCACTTTCTCCAGTAATTACACCAACATCCACTGGTGATCTCAGCCCTGCAGAACAGCTCCAGCAGCGTTTTTATACACAAAGAAGAAAAACATAAATAGAATAATGACTAGATCATAAAAATTCTCTGCGAGTGAAACCTCTTCTACTGGTTGACCAAAACAAACTCGATGCATTGAGAAAATAAAAGATTAAGTACCTTTAGCAATTCGATCAATGGCTTCACGTGGATCATTTTTCCTAACAAAAGCAAGTGATAAACACATCTGTCATGAACAGGAGCAAATATTATCTCAAGAAATAACTCATATCAGATTAATCCAGATTGCAGTAGAACCAACTAACCAGCCCAATGTTCTAGCAAAGTCAGACCCGGTCCCTAAGGGTATGTGCTGTAGAAAGATAAAAACATAATTATATCTAACCTTGAGAAATCCACACCATAGAATTGGAAACTTAGCTTTGCAGTGATGCTAAAAGTAAACATCAAATCAAACATTACCACATAACAGGAAATGAACAAATACAAGAACAGAATGGCAACACTTACACCAAGAGCAGTTGAACGTGTAGCCTCTCTATTGTGATTGGCGACAGGTTTCCCAGCCCAAAAGAATCCATTAACAACCTGCTTATTTGAAGCCACGGTTGATGAGAGACAAACATTGACCAACAAAAATGGCATATTTGATTATTATCATATATGCCTTGTATAGACAATTTTAATACCTAAATTAGAGAGCAAAAAATATGACTTGATTTTCTGTTTTTGTTAATCTAATCAGATGAAAAGCCAGGTCTGACCTCGTGAAGAGTACCATCACCTCCAACAGCAACCACAGCATCAGCACCCTCCCTTATTGCCTGCAACCAATTAGATTTGATATAGTTCAATCTCTCTTCTTTAGTGAAAACCCTAAACCAGTTCAGTCTCAATTTATACCTCCCTTGTAATGTCAATTGCATGATATGGACCTGAAGTCAGAGATTCACATATCTGCAGATAATTTAAATAAAAAAAAACACAAAACAAAATCAACACTATTTAATTCGAAAGTTGAAATGGCATTAAAATCAACGAAAAAGGGCTCTCACGTTACAATTTTTATCGAGGCGAGACCGGAGATAAGGAAGCAGTTTCTTCCAATCCTTGCCTGTCCTCCCATTAGCCCCTGCTCCGAAGAATAAATGTTGTTTTTTATCTGAATATTCTCAAGAAACAAAAAGGAAATGAAAGAGAGAGAGAGAGAGAGACCTCGGGGATTAACGATGAAAACGAGGTCGCGGCGGGGAGAAGAGGAGACGGCATCGTGGAAGATCGAACGGTCAGGAGAGAGATCAGAAGCCATGGGTTTGGGAAGCTCCGCTTTGAAAGCAGGAAACGGTTTTAATTTTGAATTAACGGGAAACGAAGATGCGGCCACAGCCACTATTCCTCCTCCCAATGAAACCTGATAGCAACACCCCATCCTCTCTTCATTTACTGCTTTGAACTTATAACACCACTTTATATTAATCTCCTCCCATCATTAATTAACCAAGGGTTAATAATTAAAGCAAAGCGAAGCACGGCACAGGTGCCACACCACCCTTATTGATTAAGGTTTTCGACAGCTGCTGCTTATGCAAATGGCGACAGAAGGAGTGGCTTCTTAGTTATTAGTGACGCGGAGAGATAGAGAGAGGGATGAGTCGTTATTAACAATGAACAGTTGATTTTAATTAAGTTCCACAGCAATGTTAAGATTTGTGGATGCACCAGTTTGGCAACCCCGTATTACCGTGCTTCTGAAGAAATTCAATTTTTATTTCATTTTAAATTAATTTTTATATATATTTTTGAATATTTTATTATATTAATATTAAAAATAAATTTTAAAAATAAAAATTATTTTAATATATTGTTAAATATAAAAATTATTTAAAAAAATAATCACTATCACATTACTAAATTAACTATTTATTTATTTATTTTTTTGTGAAAACTAACCTAAAAATTAACAAAATTTAAGGTTGAAAGGGAAGTTAATGTGTTCTATATATTTATTATTATAAATAATTAATTTGTTGATCTTAGAAATATATTATTTTAATATATTTTTAAATAAAAAAATTAAAAAACAACTATTAATAAAACATCAAACAAACAGGCTGTTAGCGTTCCTGATTTCCTAGTTGGTATGAACTGATTACTCACCAGTATTGACAAGTGACAACTCCTCTTTTTTTTTTTTTTGTCTCCTCTTCAGATTGTAGTTTACTTGGCGAAAAAATAGGTACGAAGCCTCTAATCTTGCTGCTCGGCCGGTTCAACATGATAAAGTAGTGATCCTGTCACACTCGTGAAAAGGAGATTTCCATGAACGTAGCCGTGTGCAGTGATCCTGCCATGCATTACCACAACAAAAAAAACACACTACTTAATTATTTCCCACGCGCCATTTAAATTTAAAAATAAGTGAAAAAATCAATAAATTAATTAAACTAAAAAACTAAAAAAGAAAATTAAAAAACCCAGACCATAAAAAAAAATTAAACTAATTAAAGTATTTTATTTGGTTTAATTTTGGTTTTATAAGCTTGAAATAAAAAAATCTTAGTCGAATCAAATCAGTTTAATTAAAAATAAATTAGCTGGACCGAAAAAACAAGATTAAACCGAAACCATCAAAAAATAAAAAACCCAAAAAAATATAGTTTTTGTTTTTAATATAAAATAACCAGATCAAAATAAATTGAATAAAATCAAAATCAATTGATAGAGTTTCGGTTTTTGATATAAAATTATCGAATTGAACTAAACTGAAATCGGTCGATTGGAACTGGATTCAATTTTATTTTTTGTATTTTATAAAATTTCAATTGGATTATTTTTATTGATAAAAACTAGACCGAAATGAAAATAATCACTCTTAATTTAAATGGAAACAACAATAAAATTAAAAAAAAATGGGCAAGATTGTTTTCACCCCAATAAGTTTGGAGATGTTTTATTTCGATCCCTGTGATTTAAATGTTTTCAAAATTTCAAAATATTTTAATATATTTGCTATTTACATCATATACGGGCACAAATATCCAGTAATTATGATTAAAAACTTAAAATTTTGAAAGAAATAGTTTAAAAAATGGGATCCATGATTATTTTTATTTTCTATTTGACTTTATTATTTTTATAATTATGCATTTAACACCCAATAACTAAGAAATATCTATTTGAATACAAAACACTCAATATAGGGTTGCAGGGTCTCCAGCTCAAGAATTCAAAATTAAGTCACAATAAAAAAGTTGTAATTGAAGTTTATTTATTTTTATTATTAATATAAATATTCAAATCAGTTTATATATATTTTAACTAATTTTATAAATTTTAAAATTAATATCTATATAAAATTTTAATAATTTTTAGAAAAACTCAAATTCATAACCAGCGAGAAACAGTTAACTTGATTCCAAAATAGAATGTGCAGTAACAATTTATAAAAAATACTTGGAAATTTCATTTACAATAACTATAAAATCTTTAAAAAAAAATATGAAGAAATTACTGATTTCTCAATTTTTTTATAAATTTCACAAATCCATATTTATTTTGCATGATTGCTGTCTTTTGAGTGGAAAATCAATTTATAATAGTAAAATAACCATAAATTCATAAATAAATACAAAATATAATTTATTATAGAGATTCATATATCATGATATAAAAATATTTTAATTTTATCCATACATGAACATATATGTGTGCGCCTACATCATAGTTGAAACAAGATGATTTTCATAGTATTAAATTATAATTGAAAACTATATATATAATGGAAAAGTTATTCCTAATTACTATTTTAATGTGTGATTGTTATTAAGATTTAATTTCAAAACAATATTTTTTTTATAATTTTATCAGCTAAGCGTGCTTTTAACCAAACAATATGAATGCACTGTCAATCAGAGAACATATGCTAACCAATTACCTTCTATTCTAGACATGGTCAAAGACCCATGATCTGCCTATCAGCTAAACACATATTAAACGCAGGTGTTAGATTGAGAATTATAAAAACATATTCCTATATTATAAAATTTGAGCTGTAGGATTCGAAATAGATTATAAGGGATGTCCAGCATATCTGAATAGTCTTACAAAGAATTTCCACTTACAGCAATTACCTGAGTTTTTTTTTTTGAAAAAAAAATTATTTACACAATCAAACAATCCAAATTTATTATCCCAGCAATTTTTTTTTCCTTAAAATCCTTAAAATCACAATAAATTAATCAAATTAAATTTAAGAAAAGTTCTCATTAACAAATCAGGCCCAATAAAAATTACACCCCTGTTATTTTTTTAAAATATAAATGAAAAAAAAAATCATATAACCTCGATTTTCTAGTATCACACGATTTTCACAGAAGAATTTCAAGGTGATTAGCTAAGTTGAATCTAATAGGGATGTACAAATCACACACAGGTTGGTGTTTTTAGGGGTGATAAAAAAAACTTAATAACCAATTAAATTTGAAAAAACTTTAAAAACTAAACAAAATAATTAAAAAACTTTAAAAAATTCAATTCATTTTAATTTTAATTTTATAAATTTAAAATTAATTGAATTGGACCGATTCAACTAATATTTAACCTTGATGTAAAAGGCAAGTAAGTATAGAAATAAAACTCTAAAATTGACCCTCGCAAACCCTCATTCACCCCAACTTATTATATATATATATATATATATATTAATATTTAACTTCAAATTATGTTGTTTTATTATATTTTTTTTGGTTTGTGGGTTTTAAGCTTTTATTATTTATATGAAATTTTCTTTACATTACAATCAGTTGATGATGAATTAATAGAAAAGTTACCAACTTTTATCTTTCAGCCCCTGATTTTTCTCTCTTTTTCAGCTCCATTCTTTTTCTTATTTGTCCATTTTCTTCTAATTCTTTGTTTTCTGAATTTTCCCCTCTTAGTTCTCTTAAATCTCTTTTTGGTCCTGTATTAGCTTTGATATCAAAGCATGGTTTTTTAATTGTTCTCATACTTAAACAATGTATGGCATGTTCAAATTCCAAACATTCAATTCAGTTTATAAACCCTAGATTTTGTGGAAGCTTTCATTAGCAGTGGTAAAAGGAGGTAGCAGTACATAAAAAAAAATAGTTTAATTTTATTCCATCCTCTATAATGCAAAAAGAAGAAGAAGAAGAAGAAGCCAAACACTCTTTTATTTACATCAACCCCCATTTTCAAAGAAAAAAAAAAAACAGATCCAATCCCATCACCTAGTCCCTGCAAATCAAGATAAGATAACAACGACCAAGCAGCTTGTAGCTCAGTGGCGTAAGGCACTGCTCGCCTTCTTTCGAACCTCGGTTCGAGTCCCAGTGGGAGTGGGGCTGGCGAGTGGTGTCCTTCCTGATTCTGCTAGCTCCTTACTGTGTGGTACGCCTGTCGCCCCCGCGGTGCCTAACCTGTTCACTGAGGCTTGCAGGATGTCCAGTGGACCGTGGGATTAGTCGTGGTGCGCGTAAGCTGGCCCGGACACTCACGTTAATAAAAAAAAAAAAGATAAGATAACAACGACAGCCACCCATGCCAGCAACTCCTCACAGAACCACCATGCCAGTATTTTGGCCAGACAACAGCGCCTTCAACATTGGCAACCAGACATCCATGCCAACACACCATCTCCCTCAACTAGCTATGGTAGTATTGGCCATAGTTATTGAACTTAGCTCGTGGTTGACGTGGGTAAGGGGTTGACTTGATTAAAGTGCTGAATTTTGGATTTTATGGATCAATCCAAATTAATTTAGAATAATATAAAAAAATTTAAAAAATTATATAAAAATAAGAGATATATATAATAAATAATGAAGTCTTAAAAAATATTTTATTTTTTTTTTATTTCACATTAAAAAAATAACTTTTTTCATAGGAATATAGAGTATATATATTAATGGGTTTCAAATTACATACATTAAAAATACATAACTTTTTTATTGTGAACATGGAGTATATATACGAAATGTCTTTAAATTTTACATTTAAAAATATACTATGTTATCTTTTTAAGTTAAAGTATTCAAACAAAAAAAAATTTATCTCACGTTGAAAAAATATAACTTTTTTCTTGTGAATATAAAATATATATACAAAAGGACTTTAAATCTCATATTGAAAAAATAATTTTTTTCTTGAAAATATAGAGTATATATATTAATTGTTTCAAATCTCATATTGAAAAAGCATAACTTTTTTCTTGAAAGCATAGAGTATATATACGAAAAAAACTTCAAATCCCACATGAAAAGATACTATGTTATCTCTTTAAGTTGAAATACTTAAACCAAAAAGTTTTTTAATCCCATATTAAAAAAATATAACTTTTTTCTTAGGAGCAGAGTATATATATAAAAGAACTTCAAATCTCACATTAAAAAGATATTATGTTATCCTTTTAAGTTGAAGTATTTAAATCAAAATATTTTTTATCCCACGTTATAAAAATATAATTTTTTTTAGAACATAAAATATATATATTATTGGGTTTCAAATCTTATTTTTTTAAAAAAATAAAAACACCAAGTTTATCCGGGTTATAGATCGACAGAGTTTTACCAGGTTATTACCCTAACCAATCTTTTAA